ACATCAATCATATGAATGCAGTTGTGAATATCTAATTTTATGAGTTATGTGCTTTAGTTAAAATAACTTTTAGTTTGCAGAATGAAATTTATAAATGTTTTATGAAGAAGTAACAAAGAGGATTGATGAAGGCAGAATGGTGGAAGTGATATATGTGGACTTCAGTAAGGCGTTCCACAAGATTCCACATGGTACACTGGTTAGCAGGTTAGATCACATGGAATACAGGGAGAACTAGCCATTTGGGTACAGAACTGGCTCGAAGGTAGGAGACAGAGGATGATGGTAGAGGGTTGCTTTTCAGCCTGGAGGCCTGAGACTAGTGGTGTGCCACAAGGATTGGTGCTGGGTCCACTGTTTTTTGTCTTTTATATAAATGATTTGGATGTGACCATAGGATGTATTGTTAGTAAGTTTGCAGATCACACCAAAATTGGTGGTGTAGTGAATATGCAAGAAGGTTACTTCAGTGTACAATGGGACCTTGATCAGATGGGCCGATGGTCCAAGGAATGGCAGATGGCGTTTAATTTAGACAAATGTGAGGTGCTGCATTTTGGAAAGGCAAACCAGGGCAGGACTTATACATTTAATTGTAAGGTCCTGGAGAGTGTAGCTGAACAAAGAGACCTTAGAGTGCAGGTTCATAGTTCCTTGAAAGTAGAGTCACAGATAGACAGGATAATGAAGAAGGCGTTTGGTATGCTTGCCTTTATTGGTCAGTGCATTGAGTGTAGGAGTTGGGAGGATATGTTGTGGCTGTACAGGACATTGGTTAGGCCACTTTTCAAATACTGCATTCAGTTCTGGTCTCCCTGTTAAAGGAAGGATGTTGTGAAACTTGGAAGAGTTCAGAAAAGATTTACAAGAATGTTGCCAGGGTTGGAGGGTTTGAGTTGCAGGGTGAGGCTGAATAGGCTGGGATTGTTTTCCCTGGAGTATCGGAGGCTGAGGGATGATCTTATAGATGTTTATAAAGTTATTAGGGGCATAGCCAAGGTCTTTTCCCCAGGATAGCAGAGTCCAAAACTAGAGAGCTTAGGTTTAAGGTGAGAGGGGAAAGATTTAAAAGAGACCTAAGGGTCAACCTTTTCATGCAGAGGGTGGTGTGTGTATGGAATAAACTGCCAAATGAAGTGGTGGAGATCGGTACAATTACAGCATTCAAAACACATCTGGATGGGTACACAAATGGGAAGGGTTTAGAGGGATATGGGCCAAATGTTGGCAAATAGAACTAGATTAACTTAGGATATCTGGTCGGCATGGATGAATTGGACTGAAGGGTCTGTTTCCATGCTGGACAGCTCTGTGACTCTGTGTATGATAAATAAGAACGCTGTTGAGGAGCTGGTAAACATACCTGGAGTACTTACAATTCAAAGGATAGGTTTTGCTTAATTAATCAGGTCAGAAAGTGAAAAAATGCTAAAGAATAAGTGACCCCATTCTGCATTTCTTGGTGGAGACAAGATGTTTACAGTTATCTTAATGACACTACAAGATAAAGGAACAAAATTAGGCCATTCAGCCATTGAGTTTACTCAGCCATTCAATGAGATCATGACTGATCTAATAATCCTTAACTCCACTTTCCTGCCTTATTGCTATAACCTTGATTCCCTTACTGATTTAAAATCTAACTCAGCCTTGAACTTACTTAACAACCCAGCCTCTAGAGCCCTCCCGAGTAAACAATTCCACAGATTGACTACTCTCTGAGAGGAAATTCCTGTAACTGCATGACCCCTTACTTTGAGTTTATGCCTTCTCGTCCTGGATTCTCCCAATAGGGGAAACAACTTCTCTGCTTTTAACATGTTAAGTCCCCTAAGAATCCTGCATGTTTGAATAAGGTCACCTATCATTCTTCTAAATTCCAATACTGGCCCAATCTACTCAATGTCTACTCATTAAACAGACCCTTATCATCTATATCGGCCTAGTGAATCTTCTCTGGACTGTCTCAAATGCCAGTATATTATTCCTTGGATTAGGGGCTGAAAACTGTTTACAGAATTCCAGCAGTTGTCTGACAAATATATTGTATAGTTTTAGCAAGACTGCCTTACTTTTATACTCCACTCCCTTTGAAATAATGGCCAGCCTTACATTTACCTTTCCTGTTACCTGCTGAACTTCTATGCTAACATTTTGGGATCTACGCACAAAGACTCCGAAATCCCTCTGTGCTGAAGATTTCTGCAACCTTTCTCTACGTAAATAATATTGACCTCCTCTATTTTCCCTGCCTAAAGAGCGTAAACTCACATCTACCTTTATGTTCCATCTGTCAAGTTTTTACTCACTGATTTAACCTGTCTATATCCCATTGCAGACTTTTTGAGGCATCCTCACCACTTTCCTTCCCATCTATTTTTGTGTCATCCACAAACTTGGCCATAGTACATTCACTTTACCCATCCATGTCATTACTATACAGTTGGTTCTGCTGTAATGTGTGTTTCTTCAACACGAGCTGGCTGTGACGCGATTGAAGAATTTAGACTGCTATTTGTAGAACATGAACTTTCCTTACCTGTACTGGCTATAATGTGATTCCAGCCCCATTAGTTTAAATGGCAAGGCAATTGTGCAATTTTCTTATAATGTGAGATTGCATGAGAACGGAACTATCACGTTACACCACAACTGACTGTACATTGTAAATAAATGTGGCTCCAGCCCTGACCCATGTGGCACACCACTAGTTACAGCTTGTTATCCTGAAATACGCTTCTTAGCCCAGCTCTTATTCTATTAGTTAACCAATGCTCTCTCCATGCTAATACAACACCTCCAATACCACTGGCTCTTATTTTACTAAGTAGCCTAATGTATGCTCCCTTATCAAATGCCTTCTGAAAATCCAAATATATTACATTCACTGCTTCTTATTTATTCATCCTGTTTGTTACCTCCTCAAAGAATTCTAACAAATTTGTCAGGCATGATTTACCCTTTGTGAATCCATGTCGACCTGCTTGATCATATTATATATTTCTAAATGCTCTGTTATTACATCCTTTCTAACAGACTCTAACGTTTTCCCAATAACTGAAATTCTTCAGAAGCAGGATGTTAATGCTGATAGATTCTGTTTTTTGGAGGATGCTAGCATTGATCTGGTGATCGTCCCATCGGATCCCCAAGATTTGGTGCAGGCACCGCTGGTATAAGCTCACAAGGATTGTAATGTGATGTCAGTGCAGATTTTGCAGTAGCCTTATAAACCAGTACGTGTTGACTTCCACATGTCACCGTTATCAAAGTCATGTTGTTGCAGCTTGAACAAGGCGGAACTGTCAAAGTTACCTTGATACTGGATTCTTCATCAATGGTAGTCCGTGGGAGAGGTGGCCTCTCAGATATGGGAGGTGTTGCACTTCAAAGCAGCCCTGTCTACATTGATGGCATAGGGGATATTCAACTGGTTCAGGAAAGCTGAGTGGAGGACATTCATCTTGGCAATGTTTAAGGACAGGCTAAGCACCAAATGTGAGATGTTAAAAAAGTCAAGCATCCTTTGCATGTTCTTTGTGGGGGACGCCATCACACAGCAGTCGTCAGCAAACTGAAGGTCATGGATGTCCATGAGGATGAGTTCTGTTTTTGCTTAGAAACAACCAAATTTTAATGAGCTTCCCATCCAGATGATGGAGAACATAGAATATAGAACAGTATGGGCCCTTCAGCCCATGATGTTGTGCCAACTTATTATCCTTTTCTTTATTCATTCACTGGATGAGAGCGTCACTGGCTAGGCAGCATTTATTGCCCATCCCTAATTGCCCAGAGGGCAGTTAAGAGTCAACCACATTGCTGTGGGTCTGGAGTCACACGTAGGCCAGACCAGGTAAGGATGGCAGTTCCTTCCCTAAAGGGACATTAGTGAACCAGATGGGTTTTTCCGACAATCGACAATGGATTCATGGTCATCGTTAT